CATTATTATTTTGTATGAAACCCTTAAATTAAGCTAACAATTTATTTCTGTTGCTGTTGCTCTTTCCTCTGTAAAATCATGGTTTGTGGACAATTTAGCGGGTAAGAAATTATTTTAGTTCATACGTAGATCATATTATTAAGCAAAACGTCGAAAAAAGTGAAAATTAAACAACCCTTCTCGAAGCCCTTTTCTTTTATTCTGTTCAATTCAAAATGCTTTGACTCTCTTACCTTTGCGAGGTATATCAAACATTATTATAAGTTCTTTTTCCTTTAAAAGTTAGTTAGTATTTGTTGTTATCTTTTGCTTCCTTTTTTGGCAGCGAAAGCAGTATCACTTTATTATTTTATTATAGAACATCAATCGTTTTCGCATACCTCAAAGTGGTTCATTTGTTGGTGTCCGCATGCGATTATAAAACCAATTATTATATCTTGTGTCCAGCTTATAACCTCTTGTGTCTGCAAGATTACAATCTCTTGATGTCCGAAAGTATGCTCAAAGGCATAAATTAATTCGCATTAATCGATTTTAGCATATGGCCCGCCTGGCCCCCCCCCCCCCCCCCTCGCGCAATTCCATAGAAAAGCTGACGTATGGAGGGCCGGACGGGTTGATGTGAGCCGGCGCCCGTTTCTCGAAATGCCTGGTAACTTAACGGGCTCGAGGCAATATTTTAAAATCAAAATTTTAGGAAGAGAGAAGCAGCCTGGCAACCTAACTATTCCATTTTGTTTCTTTAGCTAATAGTTTTATTGTAAAATATTTAAGCTTTTGAAACCATCTTGAAGGAAAGCAGAACAGCTTTACGGGCCCGTTAAGTTACCAGAACCCCGAGAAACGGGCTCCCGGTCCGGAAAAAGCCGCCCGGCCCTAGTGCACTTGGGCAAAAAATATTAAAATGAAAAACATTGTCCGCTTTTGTGGCTAAAAATGAGTGACAGCAGAGAGTACAAATGGAAACAAATGCTACGTTTTCCGATGAAATGTGAGTTTCCTGTTCTAACTCGAAAACAGAAAGGAAAAGTATTAATTGTAGAATAGTTTTTGTGGTTATTCCGCGCGCGCCGGTCTATCGCGTGGTATTTAAGAAAAAAAAATCAAAATTTCCAACACTAAAAAGTCATACAATAAAATGCGTAATGACTGAGTTAGGTCGGGCTGGATGGGAAATATTTGACTTTCGATCGTGGCACTCGGACCTCTGTGCTATGCTCGGTCCGTACGTCATGACCTCGAGCCAAATACTTTCCCGTCCGGCCCTCCCACTCAGTCAATTAGTACACAGTATCTCACAACGGCTTTAAACTGATAGTAAATTTCAGTTGATTCATTTTCTCTTCTTTTCCATCGGGTTCACCAACGTCTCATTGACATAACAGGTCGTAAGTAGCTTTTTCTTTACCTTTCCTCATTTTTACATTTCTAACAAACTAGGTACTATTCGACAGTCATCATGTGTTAGACTCCCTTCAGAGTAATCATCATTTTTGCGAAAGAGTAGATTTGTAAAAGGAAACGCTTTACCTACAATGAACCGGTATAGTTTTCGCCCCAATCATCATTTTTGATTGCGGCCAAGAGTTATATTTTGGCAAAATGTCTTTTTTACAATTGCTGGGTGACAGCATGTTAAAGACTGTTATACGGTCAGACTTCCCCATTGAATGCCAACATGGTAACCATTTGAAATACCCAACAGTTGTGGCAAGTGTAATAAGACGCGTAGTCATACTACCGGCTGTTCCATTAAAAAGACGCTTTTACTTCACGATACCAAACTGAAGGACAATGTAGGCAATAACAAATGTGCCTCACTAACTAGCATATCTCTTTTTCTTATTTCCTACCTTAACGGGCAAACAGATCGTAAGTATGTTTTCTTTTTATAGTTATTTGGCGGATTTCACATGTCTTTTCACTACTGCAGTAACAGTCATGTAACATATTTGTGTCACTGTCGCTTACTTTTGTAATAATGAAAGCTACAATTTTCGTTTTATTAATATTATTATTATGATCATCAATAAACATGGCATTCTGATATTCGCCTTGCTTCCTAAGTTATGGTTGGAAACTTGTTGAAACCGTTTTGAATTAGGCTCTTGTGGAAATATTTATTCAGTGTGAACCATAAGTAGATAAGGATTCGATTTTGATTCAGTGGCTCAGTTTACAAAAAAATTAAATTTTATCTGTGGTAGACTGTGAAATTGAGGTGTTAGTTACTTGAAACTAATTATGAGAATTAAAGTCATAGTCATGAAAATGGTTTCATATCAGAACTATTTGTTGAGCAGAGGTCTTAGCCGACTGATTAATGAATATCAACTCTCTTAGCAGTTAATTACTTTCATTTTATTTATTTTTCTGTTCTTGATGTATTTTTTTTATTATTCCTTGGCCTTGGCAATTGTGAAAAACGATTAGGACGTAAGTACATGTTTCTCTGTCATTTAAAGCATATCTATTTGCATGGCACCTTCACAGTGCGTATACGTTAACATATTTAACTAAAGTACAGGTGATAAACGAAAGAAAAAGTGCATAGCATTTCTCAATAAACAAATGAATTTTTTGAGAAACAGATGCACGTTTTAATTTTATTTCTTTTATAACTTTTATTCACATGCCACTTCTGCAATCACTCAGCTGGTAAGTTGAATTTAGTTTATCTCGCGCAATTCTTATTCTTGATAATCATGCTCAAGACAATTATATTTTCCTTTAGTGCCTAAGATCCTATTTACAACCGGTCCGCGTATGAATTGTTTACTCTTTTCGGAGTGCATGTCGATTAAGTGTTGTAAAAACAGAGTTAGGTTATCATCACAGCGAAGCAGAACAACGAAAAATCATTGGAGCCTCAATAATCTCATGTTCAAAACAAACATTTGGCATCCAGAACTGGAAAACACACGAGAGCATGTGAAATCAAATTTGCTGAGAAGCTGTAGTGCAAAACTCCGATGTTATGAAGGAGTACTTCTGAAATCCCCATCGAAAATCGCTTTCTCTTACAATAATACAGTTTCAACCAATGAAATTTACGCTGACATCCATGTCATCATTGTGTTTTAAGTCTACTTTTATGCTTTATTTTGAATTTTGAGCTCAACTCGTGCTTTCGGTACAATTTTATTAGTAAAGACTTCCATAACTGGCCCCTCATCCTGTGATCTGCTGGTTACAGCTGACGAGGAACATTCAATTTAGCAATGCTAACTTTCTCTACTTCCTGATCGCGACTGAATCTCGTCCAAGACCGCAAACAAAAAAGTTCACGGCGTCTACCATAGGATCATTATAAGGCCTGACAAACGCAGAACAGAAGTAAAACAAAGTTTAACACTAGTAATTCAAGGGCTGGTCATACCACGCATAAAATCAGTCAAACCCTTAACGCGAAACCGGCGTGAACGAGGTTAAACAGAAATTTAGAAATGCAACCCATCCTTGATAATTTTCTCTTAAGTTTCTGGAGAATCTTTTTCCAACATCACGTCCTTCTCTGGGAAATGTAAATTTAGGCGTTAATACTCGCTTTCCATTTGTTGAGAAAGTACTGGAACCTAATTCCTTTCCTAAGAAAAAAAGGGGGGGGGGGGTAGAATTTTACGATGAATTGTTATTTCATAACTTAAGCTATGTTATTTAGATCATTAACTGTTCCTCCTTTCTTATCTTATCTTTTCTGTCTAGCCAAAAGGGAAGGTAACTATCAATATCATCCGTTCCTATAAATAAATAACTCTCCTGTGGCTTAATATACATTATTGACTCTCTGCACCGGCTGATTACTGATCAGCAAATTACAATCGTAAATAGCAAAGAATTATCTAAGTGTATATCAGTGACAGTTAGTGATAGCTGTTAATGTTATAATGTTACTATCCAAACGACTTTACCGATGTGGACAGTATTAGTATAAAATCAATAGCTAAGTTCTGTAATAAATGATATTTGTATAATTATCATCAGATAACAGTCATATGTGGCTGATTGTTTGTTTGATTTAACAAATTCTGTCACACAGTTATCGATTTCAATGTAATATATTGACGTACCAAACAAACTGGTTTGTTCAAATAAACAAATGAATAGATAAATGGATTAACATCTTTTCAAAATTGTTTTTCTCTTTCACGGCGTTCTTTCCGGATCCATAAGCGGGTGAGTGCGACGAGTTCAGTTTGTTTGTTAACCTTATGATGTGTTAGTCAAGTATTCCAAGGCTATGTTGAGCCACTAATTTACTCATCGAATGTGAATCTTTCTTTTCATGTTCACCTAACATCCTCATCCTAACTGATATAACAGATTGTAAGTAGCCATGCTTGAACTATCATTTATCAGTAGGCAGGATAAAGGGTCGATAAAGATGGTTGAACAAACAAATGGATCCCAATAGAGGGATTCAGACAGGATACTCTTCTCTGTTGATCAGAGGATGTGTGGACAAAGATGTTGCATAGAAATAAAACTTTTAATTGTTACAACAATTGAATTTCAACGTTTCAGGCCTCTGCCATATACTGGTGGAACTTTTACAGTAAAGTTGAAAATTAAAAATTGAAAACGTTAAATCCCAGTTTGTTTCTTTTGACATTTTTGCACGGTCATCCATTTGAGCAATAGAAAACAATGTCACTCTCCCTGGCTTATAACATGATAAATCCTTGACAGATGTTGAGACAACACCAATGATGCTTTTAAATAGGGAACTGTAAGTTGGGTGATTTATAAGCTTCAAGCCATCAATCTTTTTAACTTGGAGATGTTAGTTCGATTTCCCCTTGGAAATTAGAAACTGAGAATATCGACGATAATAATTAGGTATTTTGGTATCCTTTATGGCAAGCAGCAGATTAATGCAGCAAAGGAAGTAAAGAGCATAGGTAGAGTGATAATATGACATATGACTCTTTGCGCACAACTTATTGTTTTCAAAGGTTGTATGGCGTGGTCGTCTTGGAATGGCGTCTGCATTGGGTGCAACGAGTACCGGGAAAGAGTCGGTAAGTGACAAGAGGGAGTTTTGGTGAATTTGTGACTCACAGGTGCAATGGCGGGTTTTTGCCATTGCTTTACAACTTCAAAAAACTATACAGCATTTATAAACTTTTATTCAAATGGATAAACTCTTATGTATAGATTGTAATGATAATTAGGCAGGAACCTTCAGCAGTTATTTTCAAGGGATTTTTTCTTTAAAATAAATAAGATGACTTAATCTCCAACCGTTTATTACTTTTAAAAGATTATTTGGATAACCTTACTTCTAGAATTTAACTGCTCAAGAACTCGGGAATCACGGCCTTGTAAATGTAAGTGGTTTTATGTATGAGGAGAAAGTCAAGGATTCATTTGTAGGTAGAAAATGCTGCACTGATATCCTTCAACTGTCCTTTAATTAAACGTCAAACTCTTTATTTAATATACTTTGGTTTTACCAACAGGGTTGGTAATTTAGATTGGCCACCGTAAAAAGTATCAAAGCTGACCTTTCGAGCGTTAGCTCTGACGAAGCGCTAACGGTCGAAACGTTGGCTAAGAAAATCTTTACGGTGGCCATCTTACATTTTCAACTTAGTTGATAAGACCCAAGAGCCGTGACCCATGGAAGCTTACCCCCCGTTTTCTCTGTAAAAAAAAACATGATTCGCACTTAATTAAAAACATTTTATTTTTTCTGCCGGAGTTTAGACGCTATATTTATATTTTGTCACAAACAACAAAGGCAATTTTTCCTTAGTAGAAAAAGAAAGATCATTACAGTTTCATGTAGAACAGGCGTGATTTTCGCGAGCGGGTGCTAAGTATTTTTCCTTGGTGAAAATCATGGTTGCAAGCTTTGATTTTTACAGCAGGGGAGAGCTGGGGAGAGAAAGACAGTTGCACTAAGATTGTAAACGACGATTAAAAAGAAGTAGAGGGGGAGGGGATGGGGATCAAGTTTTATATAAATTATTATTTTTCTTCTTAAAATTAAAAAGGTCCTCCTGAAATAAATTCTTGGCGAGAGAAGTCTGTCAAATTAAATTCAACACTTCAAATTCAATGCTTCGTGAGGGGTTTTCCTAAACCAGAGGTGAAGTGGACAAAAGATGGAAAGTTAGTTAATACCAGGAACATGCTCACGATTAATCGAGTGACTTATGGCGATGCTGGTCAATACACATGCAGCGCTAAAAACAGTGAAGGAAAAAATGAAGCAGCTATTCATATTACAGTCACAGTTAAACGTTGACTTACTTTTGTTTCTTTCAGTTTCTATTCTCATTTTCTAATTTTTTTCATACTTTCACCTTTTTTGAATTGTACTTTTGAATTCTATGCCCAGGTCCTCCTGAAATTAATACTGAGCTCAAGAATCAGTCGGTTACCTATAACTCGTCGCTTCAGTTCATTTGCTCTCTAAGCGGTTTCCCTACACCTGAGATACTCTGGACTAAAGATGGGGTGAATCTCCGTAACAAAATCATGTTTGCAAGCTTTGATTTTTACGGCAGGGGAGAGCTGAGGAGAGAAAGACAGTTGCACTAAGATTGTGAACGACGGTTAAAAAGAAGTAGAGGGGGAGGGGATGGGGATCAAGTTTTATATAAATCATTATTTTCCTTTTCAAAATTAAAAAGGTCCTCCTGAAATAAATTCTCGGCGAGAGAAGTCTGTCAAATTACATTCAACACTTCAAATTCAATGCTTCGTGAGGGGTTTTCCTAAACCAGAGGTGAACTGGACAAAAGATGGAAAGTTACTTGATACCAGGAACATGCTCACGATTAATCGAGTGACTTATGGCGATGCTGGTCAATACAAATGCAGCGCTAAAAACAGTGAAGGGAAAAAGGAAGCAGCTTTTCATATTACAGTCACAGGTAATTGTTGACTTACTTTTGTTTCTTTCAGTTTCTTTTCTCATTTTCTAATTTTTTTTTTCATATTTCACCTTTTTTGAATTGTACTTTTGAATTCTATGCCCAGGTCCTCCTGAAATTAATACTGAGCTCAAGAATCATTCGGTTACCTATAACTCGTCGCTTCGGTTCATTTGCTCTCTAGGCGGTTTCCCTAACCTGAGATACTCTGGACTAAAGATGGGGTGAATCTCCGTAACAAAATCATGTTTGCAAGCTTTGATTTTTACGGCAGGGGAGAGCTGAGGAGAGAAAGACAGTTGCACTAAGATTGTGAACGACGGTTAAAAAGAAGTAGAGGGGGAGGGGATGGGGATCAAGTTTTATATAAATCATTATTTTCCTTTTCAAAATTAAAAAGGTCCTCCTGAAATAAATTCTTGGCGAGAGAAGTCTGTCAAATTACATTCAACACTTCAAATTCAATGCTTCGTGAGGGGTTTTCCTAAACCAGAGGTGAACTGGACAAAAGATGAAAAGTTACTTGATACTAGGAACATGCTCACGATTAATCGAGTGACTTATGGCGATGCTGGTCAATACAAATGCAGCGCTAAAAACAGTGAAGGGAAAAAGGAAGCAGCTTTTCATATTACAGTCACAGGTAATTGTTGACCTACTTTTGTTTCTTTCAGTTTCTATTCTCATTTTCTAATTTTTTTTTTCATATTTCACCTTTTTTGAATTGTACTTTTGAATTCTGTTATTATATTTCAGAGGCTCCCCCCAGCAGCTCACTGGAGTGGTACTACATTGGGGGACCTTTGGCTGCTGTCGTTTTTCTACTGGCGCTCATTTCATACATTAAAAAACGGCGTGAGACAGGTAAAATGTTACCATACGAAAATAAAATGTCTTCATATGGCAGATTGTGGCTTTTAATACGTCAGTGTTTTGGAGCACGAAGGAGCTATTTAAAGCAGGTCATATTGTGCATTTCCAGCGCTGATTTTGAAGGTCCCTCTACAGTCCGGGCAAAGGCCATTGCTAATCAAATTACAAAAACGTTACTAATTATATGAAACTAATTACCATGATAACCCACCTTATTCCTTCTCCTGTTGTTTGACAACAGAGTCAAATATAAGTTACACGTGGTTTCTGAGTCGCAAGCTTTAATTTAGTTAATGATGTCATTCTTACTCACAACGAAGCGATTTCTTTCATCTGTTTCCACATATCCTTTGACAATAGCCCCACCTGAGGTGCCACCTAGGCTGCGGTAAGTGAATTCCCTTTTTAATGCTCAATGTCTGAACGTGTGGTTATTTCCGAAGTTTCTAACTCTTGAATAAGTCTCAGTAGAGTAGTGATAAGCGCCACTGCTGAGTAAATACGTCTTTTTTTTTTTCTGTTCGGACTGACTATGTTCACCATTAAGAGCACACTGGCCAAAATAAAAGGTTTTTTATTTCGAACCAGCAGCAGTTTTCGAAGCCGTTCTTATCAAATGGCAATCAAATGTTTCCTAACATCCTGTCTGTTTTGGATTCGTCCGTCCTTCACTTGTTTTGACATCTTGTTTAGTATCTTTTTTTTTTGTTACCAGTACGCTAGGTTGTGGGTGGCGTACTTTTAAAGAAGAAGAGAAGCTTTGACCCTTCGTCACTCTTTGTTACAGAAACTACAGTTGAAATACACTCGGAGTCTTGTAGACCGATTTATAATAATATTACTCGATGTATCGATTGTGGACAATACTTCGGATGGTTTTAATTAGTATTTCATTTCTCGCGTAGGAGGCACGATATTTATATGACGTAAAATGCCGAAAAACACAGTCGGCGCTAAGTTTATTCAATAAAATCTCCTCTCTGGGTCGATGCGTTCAGTAAATTAGTATCTAAATTTCACCTATTTCAATAATTTTTTCATTGGCAAGTGATAATTTTCTGAAGCACCCGGAAATAAAAACGAAAAGAAAAAAATTAAAGTGAAAATATAGAGGATATCTTTACCACGTTACGTTAAACCAGATTCAAAGAAGGAAAAGATAGATAGGTAACACAGATAGTTAAAGTCTTGTTTTCATCTGCAATTATTCAGTGAAGGGGACGATGAAGTTGAGATGGATCAGCTGAACGTAAACACAGATGGATGGGAGATTGCAGTTGACCGCCTGATCCTTCGCGAGCATATTGGCAGAGGGGCATTCGGTTCAGTGTGGCGAGCGCTACTGGGTCGTTCTCGAGGCAGACCTGGAAATCGCACGGTTGCTGCGAAATGCTTCCTACGTAAGTACTTACTTACAAAGCTTGATTAAACTATCCTTTATTAATTTTTTGAGTAATATATCTTAATAAAGGGCATTCACTTAGAATATGCTTTATTAACGTACTTGATACATAACATGGATAGCTTAAAAACTGTGCGCTGTTAAAATGATTTACCAGCTGGCATGTCAAATTGTTAGCGGATGGTTCCCCGGGGGACCGGTTGTTAAGTCTTTTGTCATACAACGCTACTACCATACAACAGAACACGAATATCATTTGAAGTATTAGAAGCTGTGGAGAAAAATGAAAATTTATTGGTTAAATTGCATTCAAGCGAATAAAAGCGGAAAATACCATAATACTGAAAATGTCACTCCGTCGTGTATTTTGTAAAATTGCTCGCTTAGAAACTTTTGATGGGAAATAATGTCATGTGACCTCAAAGAAACCTGGAGAGGGTGAGTCTGGCGCAAAAAGCTCAGAGCCATTTGCCAGTCTAGTGGTGGTAGTATGATCTTCTTCCGCTGGAAAAGCTGAACGTCATAATGCAATAGAACTTGTATGAAGCGGTCACCTTGTAATAAGCGGTCGGTTTTCAAAGTATCGAAACTTTCCTCCTTTGCTTATGGCGCTTTTTATATCAAGCAGTTGTGGTCACCCTTTACTAAGTCCCAACAGCCTATTTTTAATGTTCCTTACCTGTATTGAACGGTCACTAAAGCGGAAGTACTCAAATAAAATTAAGAATAATCTTTCAAGTAAAATTGAATCCAGGTTTATCTCCCGAAATCAATGTTAGTAATATTTTTGAGCGAGGTTGTGTATGTTAAGTGGTCCGTGATGGCATAGAGTGGCGTTTTTAAACTTTTATCAATAGTAGCCCTATTCCGTGGAACCTATATTAAACGGTCAACCATTTCCCGTGCGTGACCGCTAAATACAGGTTCGACTGTAACAAGCTTATAGAGTCAAACGAATTTAGAATAATTCTGGAAATGCTAACGAATTATTGTAGTTTTTAGTAAGATAAAAGCAAGGATTATGTACCATATGAACGGTAGGAAACAAGAAGGCGCAAACAGAGCATATCTTTAATAAAAATTGTCTCAAATATCTATTCGACCGACTATTAGGTATTATAACAGGTGCAATTTCAAGGCTTAATTGCGTCTCTACTTTTGTAAGTTGTCTGTAAACAATTGCGCGGTCCAATGAGCTTGCCTAGTTAACAACAATGCTCGAGATGTGCAGCGTTTTCTTAGCAAATAATTTTTTCAACAAGGATGAATCTACTTTTGAAATTTCATGTTCAATACAACTGAACAAGACGGCTAACTGACATTTTTGTGGCAAGTATGGATTATATGGGGTTTAGAAAACTAACTTTTTTTTATGTAGACCAAATTTATTAGACGTTGCGCTGGTAATATAGCACTAAGTATACAAAAATGTTTACCACATAATTGTGTCTCTCTTGACATGCAAAGTTTGTTTGTTTATCTAATTTTTGTGTGGTTTCCCAGCAATCTCCGGAGAGAAAGGAAGGAAGGCCCTGCTGAGAGAGATCGAGTTATTAAAACTCTTTGGAAGGGAGGGCCATGAAAATGTTGTTAAGTTCATTGGTTGTGTTACAGTTGGAGGTAATCAGCTATTGTTATGAATATAATCAGCTAATTCACAGTAACGATAAAAACATATCCGACGTCAACCAGTATTGCTTAGATGGTGTACTAATTCAAGGGTTATTTCCATTTTTTGTCTAATCTAAAGAAATTTACTTCGCACTGTATGTAGGCCATTTTACTTGGAAGATTTAAGCTCTAAAATTTACACGCTAATTGTGATAATAGTTTTAACTTACGATGGGAAGTCTCTGTCTATTTATCTGCCATCCCTATTTTCCTGCCTTTCTGTTTATCTGTCTGTCTGTCCATCTCTCTGTGTGTCTGTCTGTATTTCTGTATCTGCTGTATGTGTCCATCCGTTTTCTATCTGCGTTTTTTCCTCTTTGACTTTCCCTCTCTTTCTTAGATATAACCAAATGTATAAGTAGATAAAGCATGTACAATTCAAACACATTTTGCAACTTCTGCACTGCTTGCCATATAATAATTTTCTTGTTTTTCCCTCTTAGCTCAGCCAATACTTATCATGGAGTACCTGTGGCGAGGTGACTTGCTGGGCTATCTCAGAAAATCCAGGGGGGTTTTCGACCAATATCATCATGGGGTCGGAGGGGTCGACCACTTGACAACATATGACATGGTGCTGTTTGCTAAACAGATCGCACATGGCATGACTTTTCTCGCGTCCAGAGGGGTAAGTGCTCAAACTCTTTCTGGTCAGTATGTGATCCTGCATGTGTTAAAATGGCGTGACTTGCAAATCGTCAAAAGAATATTCTGTACAGCTAAAAAGATCCAGCACATTAGAATCACTATTTCACAGAGAAATGGTTTGACATTAGCATGATGTTAAACTTTCTACCTATATTTTATTTTTTATTTTATGTAGTTTATAAAAGTCCCTTTTGGCAGATCATATCATTTTTTGTTTTCGATTTCAGATAATTCATCGCGATCTTGCAGCTCGTAACATCCTTCTTGATGAGCATCGTGTCTGCAAGTTGACTGACTTTGGGCTCTCTTATCAGGATTTCAAATACGGCCCAGGAAATGCCAAGAGGGTAATTTTCAGAATTTTTTCATCATTTAGTCAATTGGTTTTGGGGCTGCTGGTATGGAAGATAAAAATGTGAAGAATTAAAATATTACTGTCCTCACAAACCTTTCTTTTCAGTTATACAGTTTTACTGCAAAACACATTTCCCTTCAATGGGAAGCCGTTCTAAGCGTATCGAAACTTTCACAGAAAAAAAAAATTGTACCTATGGAGTGAACACAGGAAATAAGAAAGCTGGAGGAGATATCGTTCTCTGAATAGCAAAGATACAAAATCGAAAGGCAAAGAAACAGGAGATTTAAAGGAAAAGGAGTGTGTGAATTGTTTCCATAGAATTTGTACAAAGGTGTCTACTGCTCTTGACATTATCGTAAGTCCTCACATCACGGTTTTAATCTTATATGCAAAATATTTTAGAAGTTGTATACAAGGCTCTTTAGATGTCAGATGTCTATAGTATTTTGGTTACTCATCCAGGGATGTATCCCAATCAAATGGACTGCACCCGAGATTCTCTTTGGACATGTGGAACAACTGTCAACCAAAAGCGATGTGTACGTACTGTATTGGTTATTATCAACATATATTCCAAGAGTGAACATTTTTACGATTCTACCTTAACTTAGCGAGGAAAACTAGAATATTCAGTGCTCTATTGATTAGAGGGTCATTAGGAAACGTCAAGCTGGGAAACAGCTGAGGTTACAGCTGTAGTATGAGACTTTACATGAATATTAAGTTTAACGAGCAATATCCAAAATCTGATTAGGATAAGAACAGACGGATGAAAGGATGAGTGGATAATCAAACAAATAAATATGGCGTTTTCTGTTAAGGAGG